GCGGTGTACCCTCGGTGTGGACCGAACTAGGGAAAAGGGCCTTCTCCTACTCCACTCCTGTTTCCTGGAATATCTTGCAAAAAGACCGGAAGCTCTCGACCTTGACCTCTCTAAGTGACCTCAAACATCTGCTAAGTAGGGGTGCACCGATTGCAGTTTTCTGGCCGATCACGGTTCAGGCTTTGGCCGATACGATTTTGTTTTATTAGCGCCACTGTCAGGCGTTACAATGTCACAATGCATCTTCAATTACCCACTCTTATTTTATTGAAAAATATACCCCTGAACAATATCCTAGAAACAATACAAACTTTGTTTTAACTGGCAACGAGGTGGTGCTCTGAAATATAAATGAAGCTTAGGCAATTGTTAAAATTACACAAACATCTGTAAAATCGGTCTCTCAAGTATCGGCTGATTTTCGATCTCCCAAAATTAAGGAAATCGGTGCACCGATAAATCGATTAGCCGATTTATCGGTGCACCCCTACTAATAAGTTCAAGACAAAAACCAACGCAGCAGAAATGTTCCTGTTCGTAGTACTTTACACCGCTTTATAATATTGCTGCTCTTGTCTCATTTTTGCTGTTTTGTTTTTATTTCATCTCTTCTATTTACTTTTTATTTTATATGCTTTTTTAATATGATTGTCTATTGTTGTCTCATCTGTGTTCTTTGTTTAAAACAGGCCTCTCTTGTTAATGAGTCCTCATGGCTCAATGAGACTAACCTGTATAAATAAAGGTTGAATGAATGATCTTCAGGTGCTGCTGCATTAGGACATCACTGAATGGGCTCCAGAAAGTCCAGCGACCGGTCTCTTTAGTTCCTACATATTTAGAGACTGTAGTTACATAAGGGATATGCTTCACAGCGGTTAGCACGGCCCTGTCTGCCATAAAATTCAAAATTACCGTGATGACACACTCTTAGCTTCAACGTTTGATGTTTACTACTGAACAAAAGTTCCAAGACAAAATGATGTTTAGTGATGCTGATGTTCAAGACGCTTGTGAATAAAATGAGTCTCTAAGATTTGTCAATCACTGCATGCGGCTTTAATTTAGATTTTAACAGCATCGCTTCTTTTCCTGAACTGACAATGTGCTGACAAAGTTCTGTTTTTTTACGTTAAATAGAGCACTGATAGTCCTCTGAATGCAGCAAAGTAGTACCACAACAACAGATCACTTCAGGTGTTTTTGTCACGGAAACTGCAAGGTACATACTTTTCATCTTTTTCCTGCTAACCAGTAGGTTTTGCTGCTACCCTGAGTTTGTGGGACAAGTGTTTGCTCACTATAAATACAAGCTGCTGACTGAGTAACTGCGTCCTTGCCTCCCAGAGGTGAGATGGCATTATTGTGCAAAAACTACTGTTCTCATGTGGCAGAACAAGCAACGGCGGCAAATGTCTGGTAAATAAATCCTTAGGGTGAGTTTCAAATGTGAGAATGAAAGAGAATGAAAGAGTTAAAGGGCTGCAGTCTGTTTGTCACAGTAAGAGGGAAAGGACAGGATGGAGCAGCAACAATCATGACACCTTAAGGTCATTGGAGTAAAGCAGCCATCGCTTTTCCGTTGAGTCATGTGCACTCACCATGTCGCATGAATGAAGCATGTTTTATACAAAACAGCTGTAATTATCTGCACACACAAAGAGGGGGGGTCAAATGAAAGAGCATGAAGCAAGAAAATGACCGCACCGGAACATACGAGGTAAACCACCAGAGGTCTTTCACATCACCATGGTGTCAGAGCTGGCAGGTTTGTAACATGCTCCGTTCATGTCTGTAACATGCTCCGTTCATGTCTGGTCATCATGCATGCGCTGACCCTGACGTCTCCTCTTCTTCACTTGGGCTCATTTCACACCCCCAGACAACAACCGAGGCTCGATGTGCCCGTGAGCATCCAACGAATCTGCCCAGGTTAGTCCGGTGCGCGAGCGCGTAGCCTCCAGTCAACTTGTATGATTGAGTGACGCGCTCATGCGTGCACGCGCGGCGCTAGGACCAAGCAGACTGGCTTATTTTCTCTCTGTCGCGGTGATGATGATGATGATAAGGACAGTGTCCTCTCTTACCTGTCTCCAGCTCCGCGGGGATGTGACCGCAGCTGTCCACGCACTGAAACATCTGTCTTCACGTGCCGGCGCGGCCCATGTTCACAAACCCTGCCGCTTCTCGCAGCTCTGCGCCTCCACGCACGGACCATGCGTGTTGTTTCTACGTCGCCGCGAGGGGTGGGGCCCGCGAGCCTTGGAGACGGCGCGCGATTGGAGCACGAGAATGCCACTCATCTCCTCGGAGCCAATCAGATGCAGCGGAAGCTCCAGAGTTTCACACAAGGAGCTGCAACTCGTGGCTCTGGGGCCACATGTGGACCTTTAGCCACTCATCTGCGGCTCTTTGAAGCTTTTTTTTAATTTTCATTCAACCTTTATTTAGACAGGTTAATCCCATTTACAAGAGAGACCTGAATTCTTAACAAAGAATAACAGTGAATAACAAAGACAACAATAGACAGTCATAAAATAGGAACAGGTAAGTTTCTCTCTCTCTTTTTTATTTTTTTACAAATCAAAACAATCAAAACAAAATAGCAACCAAAAGGACAATCAAGAGGAATAGTAACAAAAAACAGCTTACAAAAAAACTTAACAGGAACATGTCTGCATTGGTTTTTGCCAGGAACTTAACAGATGTTTAAAGTCAGAGAGGTCAAGGTCGAGAGTTTCAGGTCTTTTTTTCATTCAACCTTTATTTTGTAAGTTTTTACTTCTTTACATCATAGTTATTTTTTTCCCAAAATGTAAAACCATCAATTAATGTTGAAATTCATTATTGATTACTAGTTTTAAAATGCCAGCTGAACTGGTCAGAAAAGCCATCTCCAACTGTGGCCCATGGGCCACCAGTTGATCATCACAGTTGTAGCAGGTTTCGTGGCTCCAGGCTCTTTTTCATTTAATGAGTGAAGGAGCAGAAATGGTTGTTTTGATCAAAAAGGCTGCAGAACCCTGGATTAAATCAACTTTTGATATTCAAATACATATTGGTGCAGTATTTGTACAAAATACTCCAAAATCACATGGATTATAACAGGCAGAAGTTTTGCTTGGATGTACTTTTAGAACTAATTGGCTTTTGGAGTCAACCCGATTCAAGATGGCTGCCACAGCCAACATAGTAAAAACTAACATAATATAACTCTTGTCAGTTTTACTGGCATGAGCTAAAATTTGGGTTGGTAGTAGCTGAGATTGGTTCCCAACACATGCTCTGAGCTCTAAACAGTGCACGATTTCTTTTAAATGTTGCCATTAACATGTTGAACTCCACAAAGTTCATGCTCAATAATCCAGGTAAAAAATCCAACAAAGTTCAGACAGGTCATCTGGAAGGTTAATTTTTTTGCCGAGACGTTTCGTTCTTCATCCAAAGGACTTCATCAGTCTGAAGAGCCACAACAAATTGAGTCCTCAAAGCAGCACACTCGCATAGTGGGCCAACCAGTTTGCTGATGATAAGATGGTTTCTGGGGCCCACCCTCTCCCCTGTCGACTCCTCTGAGGCAGCCATAGCCAAAGTGGTTCAAAACATCAAAGTTCAAAATGGGGAGAGGGCGGGCCCCAGAAACCATTATCACCAGCAAACTGGTTGGGACACTATGGGGGTGTGCTGCTTGTGAGACTCAGTTTGTTGTGGCTCCTTGGACTGATGAAGTCATTTGGATGAAGAACGAAACGTCTCAAAAAAAAAATAAAAAAAATCCAGATGACCTGACTAAACTTTGTTGGATGTTGAGCTCAACTTTGTCTGTTAGCAAAATACTTTATGAACCACTGTATGTATTTTAATAAAACTCGTATCATCAGATGTACCTCCACAAGTGATTAGTGTTTGAAGTCAATCCAATTTAAGATGGCTGCTACAGCCAACGAAGCTGTAACTCATTCAACTGTACATGTACTGAGCTATACTTTGGTGTGGTAGTAGCTGAAAGTCATACTAACCACATAATACAAGCAGTACACATTGCACAAAGTGATTTGTTTCCAATTTTAGCATTATTGAGAGTAATTTACAACTAACTCTAAGCATCAATGCAAGATCATGCAATAACTTGAAATATTACATGAGAATGTTTTTTACAGTTTGACCAAAATGACCAACTCAATTCTCAACGTTAATCCAAAACTGCCTGCAAAGCAACGGGAGATGTGCATTCTTTCAAGGAATGCTGGGGATTTAGACTAGTTGTTAGTTTGTATAATGCTCTGAGATAACGTTTGTTCTGAAATGGCACTGTACACAAAGTTGAAACTTTTTCCTGTGTTTTAGATTTTTAAATTCTGCATTTATTTTTAAGGCTGCAAACTGGAGGCAATTTTGAAAATGTTAAATGTCTGTAAATTCATTTAGTGATTTTGTGAAGGTGAACATGACAGAACCTGGGCAGAGACAGAAACCACACGATCAAACTGCGAACACATTTTATTCACTGCACACACACCTACAAGGTGTGAAATCAAACATGATTCAGAAGAGGTCCGGCACAAAAGTAGGATTTATTCTACCCTCTACTGGCAGAAGACTTTTTTTTTTTTTTTCAAAATGAAAATTTAATTTTACCATTGTAAAAGAGGAAGTCAAAGTTGAGTATTTTTAAAAAGCTGTTGATAGTACTTGTTTCATAGAGAAGAACTTGAATAAAAGAAACTGTTCAAAAATAGACACAGTGTCTTTTTTCATCTGAAGCAAACAGGATAACAATTTTAAAGCATAAACTCCACAACTTTAATACAAAAGGATGACTATGTACAAGCATACAGTATGTACAGCCAAAAATATAACTTCTAGTAAGTCTACAGAACCACAGACCATATTCAGGACAATGTTTTGTTTTTTTGTTAGACACAGGGAAAGTTTTGGTGGTGTAACAAAGAAACACCAGTTGCTCAAAGAAGTCCGTGCTAAACCAGAAATCTTCATTTTTACCACCCCCCTCTTTTAAAACGAGGGAATCTGAGTCCTGGTCCCTCAGTTCTGAAATGCCCCCTCTCCCCGTCCTCCATAATCTCAGGTCTCGGTGGTGGAAATCTTTGAAAAGGAGGACCGCGAGGTGGGAAGGGCATGGGCATTCTGAATCTATCAGGTGGAAACATCGGCCCTCCTCTTTGTATCATTTGCGGAGGCATGTGCTGCATGTTTTGAGGTGAGGGGAAGGGTCGCATGTGAGGATTTGGCATTCCAGGTGGCGGCTGCAAAGGTGGCATGCATGGTCGGGGGGGTCGATGCATAACTGCAGGGTTTGGCATGACCTGCGCTGCTGGAGACCCCAGCTGGTTGCTAGTGTTTAGAGCTGAGCAGGGATTGTAGCCTCCGGTGGAATTTTCTATGGAATCCTCTGGAGCGTTGATATTTCTTGCTGTAAAAGATGCATAAGATTTTTATGGACTTTTGATTAGAATCAAGTATTTATGCCAAACAACAAGCTGTCAAAATGTTGTAACATAATTGTTTTTCAGTTATTAAATTTGAAATAGGCAGTTTCTTCTGCTGGGATAGACCCCAAACAGGACGAGGCACGTTGGGCACGACTTACCTACTGCTAGGGTTGCAGCAGCAAAGTCTACAGGCATGAATGGAGCTCCTACAGGAGGAATGGATGTTGGAGAAAGCATGATGGGGCTGTGAAAAGGAGGTGGACTTCCAATAGGTTCTGCCTGCTGAACTGTTGGCATCTGGAAGACAAAACAACAACAACATCTTGATTAAAGTTTAACTTCCATTTCAAAAAATCTTCTGAGACACTGTGGGAGGGACTGTATGAACATGCTCTTGCTTCATGCTGTGACAAAGCTTCACAGGAAGGAGAATGTTTTAGTCAGTAAAGTCAAGAGGTATAAATTAGTCACAAAAAATAAAATATGAAGAAAACGGAGACCATCAGACTTGACTAAAAGTTTTGGAACCAATTAATTTTTTTTTCTTCCCAACATTTCCTCTTGTCAAAGGTTTCTGCCTGTAATTACTTTAAAAGTTTTATGGGTGACACACAACAAACAGGTACGGAGTATTTTAGTAGCAACTTATTTCTGGGAGCAAGGCTGTAGATCAGGAGTGCCCAATACGTCAATCGGGAATCTATTAGTCAATCGCAAATGTATTATGGGTAGATTGCATGGCATAAAAAAGAAAAGACAACAGCCTTAGTTCTGTGGAGTGGAGATTTTCAGGGGAACCCCACAAGGAGGAATGCTCCGCAAATGTGGTCGCACATGTGTACTACAGGCGGCTGCAGCCCAAAGTTTTTCTGCTTTAACAACAGTTATAATAAATGGAAGAGATCGGAGTGTTTTTTTGTGCTACTCACCTCTTTTCAGCACGTAGGAGCACAAGTAATAAAATCCAGGGTCCAAAGAGACATTAGTGTATTCACCAGTTTGGACTAACTGTGATTGTGCAATAAATGCAGCTGAGCCCTGCATCAGGGTTGCCAGATAAATTTAAAATGTCTTTATTACCCCCTCTTTTTCTGTGCACATGTTCAACAAACAACACACACCTCAGCTTAGAATATCTTTACTCAGTACATATTTTTTTTTCATTTCATTTAGCCTTTATTTATCCAGGTTAGTCTCATTGAGCCACGAGAACTCATTTTCAAGAGAGACCTGTTTTAGGGAGCACATGGTGGGGGTTAAGGGCCTTGCTCATGGGCCCAGAGTGGGGCGAATGAGGGTGGGGGCAAGTGTGGGTGTTTCACCCACCCCACCCACAATTTTGATGTTGTCGGTGGCCGGGGTGTGAACCGGCGATCTTCGGATCACAGGCCCACCTCTCTAACCTCTGCGCCACCACTCCCCCATAATATGACAGTTAATACTATCACTTTAAAGCGATAGTACTATAGTTCATAATTTCTTATCTGGCAACCCAACAGACATGGAAACCACAGCGCGTAAACCTGCTCATTTTTTGTTTATTGCCCCCAACAAACATTGAAAAAACACAAACGTTTCCAGAGGATGTTCTTGTGTAAACGGGGCCTTATAGTAGGTAGATCACTTTGACTTGGTCATTTTAAAAGTAGCTCGCATGATGAAAAAGTGTGGGCACCCCTGCTGTAGATGGAAAGGCCCCTTTACCCTTTACTGTTTTCACAAATCTGCATTGACCAGCATGGACAGAAATCTAGTCTTGTAATGGCAATTAAAAAAAGTAATTGATTGAACTGAAATGGACAAACCATAAAGAACAAGATACATTTATTAGACCGCTGGAAAAACAAAACGTCTGTTGAACAAGCAATATGTGATGGATGTCTCCTGGTCATTTCTGAAGGAACATTAAAACAAGAATGACCATTTCAGCAACAAATGTAACATCTTGTTGAACAAGAAAGGTTTAGTTCTGACCATGAAATTCACAGATAAATATTTTTCATGGAGAAATATCCTGTAATACAACTTGGTTGTTTACTGATTCTTGATCTTCTCATAGCATCATAATATACTTCATCCATCACCAACAAGTTTCTAACCCCCCCTCCCCCCCCCACACACACACCTTTTGAAAATTCATAAATCATACAAGTATGATGTTTAAAAAAAAAAACAGTTATGAAAGAGCAGACCTGATTTTAAAATGTCATACTAGTTAAAGAAATACTCAAACACAGAAAATAATAAAAAATAAAATAATAAAAAGAAAATGAACACATGCACATTCTACTTTGAAGGCACGATGCTGCTAAAACATGTATTTGTATTGCACATTTTTATATTTCCAGCTAAGCATCAAAGCAACGGTCAAACACTTCAAATTTACGACAAAGGATGTGAAAACAGTGACATACTGAATGGTCACTAAATTACTTATTCACGTTTATCTCAGTTGCATTCCAGACTTCTCTTATACTCCCTTTTATAAATCAGAAATTGTACTATTTGATTAATTAAAAATGCTTTTAGAACAATACTGATTGGAGGGATAAAGACAGAGGATGTAAATTATGAAAATGAGGACAAATAAAACTATGTAGATTTCATTCAGGCTCCATGATAATGAAATATAAATAAATGACCATGTAATAAAGTTAAGTCAGGTCCTCTGGATAGATTCTTCTTGTTGAAACATTTCGTCTTTTATCCAAAAGACTTCTGTCAGTCTGAGGAGCTGAGTTTGTGGAGACGCTGTCTGCTCTGTGGTACAGAGTCCTGATGACTCCTAACTTGTGCTCCAGCAGGTGATGGGTGTCAAACTGCAAATACTGGTCTGTGTACCACAAACCCACACACACAGACCAGTATTTGCAGTTTAACTCCCATCACCCGCTGGAGCACAAGTTAGGAGTCATCAAGACTCTGTACCACAAAGCAGAGCTCCCACTATCAGGAGCCAGGCACAAGGAGAAATCCCACACAAGACAGACCCTCAGGGGGCCACAGTTACTGGAAGCCAAGAGCTCAGGGGCCAGACATCCAGCAGTTGTTGTCATTAAGAAAGCTTGTTTTATGGTTTATAATCTAGGTTTATTTAAAAATGAACCCATTGGTGGGCAGAACGGAGTTCACCCATGAGCTTGATTTGGCCCCCGGGCCTCCAGCCCTGCCCTAGAGAAGTGTGGATCCTAACTGGATGTTCCTGAAAGCAGAGAAGAAACCCAAACAGGATTCCAGTCAACCATCAAGTGAAAAGGAGGAACCCAGACCAATGGTCATTCCGTATGTTTTGGGAGTTTCATAGAAATTGAGACTTTAAGGGCGCATTCACACTAGCCGTTTAGTCCGCTTTAATCGAACTCTAGCTCGTTTACCTAGAAAGTCCGGTTCGTTTGGGGAGGTGTGAATGCACCATCGAACTCTGTCACGGAACAAAAAGGCGAACTCTGGCCTGGGCTAAAACCTAGGTCTCGGTCCGATAGAAACGAACTCCAACGCGGTTCCAGTACAATGTGAAAGTAAACAGACCGGACCCCGCTCCGCAGGACAAACAAACACGCATTTCTCTTACCTTATATGGAGCCGTCAGCTGCCTTGTGTTAAAAACAATATTCTCCATGGTCTTCTGTCTCATCTTCTGCTCATGCTAAGTCCATTTTTGAAAAAGGACAAAATATAACTCCTAAAACTGCTAAAACTTGATGCCACTTCGTTTTTATTTTTATTTACAGAAGAAGAAGAAGACGTGTCTTCAGAAGTTTTTGTGTCGTTTCTTTCAGTAGTTCTTGGTGCAGCGCCCCCACAAGCGAGGGGGGGAATAGGTTGGTTCAACAGGTTGACTCAACTGCACAGTGCAGTGTGAATGCAAACGCACCAGCGTAAGCAAAAGGTCATGAATATTGGTCCCCAACCGAACCGAGTCTACCGGACTATCAAGTGTGAAAACGACCTTATTTTCTAAACATAACGTTCCAGTGGCTTTTAAACCCCAAAATACATTACGGCAAAGACTGGTTCATCTCAAAGATCCAGTCCCCCGACACAAACAGAGTAATGTTGTGTATGCTGTTCAGTGTCAGGAGGGCTGTGATCAGTCTTACATCGGGGAAACTAAACAGCCAATGGCCAAAAGGATGGCCCAGCACAGAAGATCAACATCATCAGGCCAGGACTCTGCGGTCTACACTCATCTCCAGGCCAGCGGTCACTCTTTCAGGGATGAAGATGTGCACATCCTGGATAGAGAGGAACGATGGTTTGAGAGAGGAGTAAAGGAGGCCATCTTTGTGAAAAGAAATCGTCCATCATTAAACAGGGGTGGAGGCCTCTGGGTTCAACTGTCCCCCTCTTACAATGCTGTGATTGCTAGTATCACTCAGCCCTCTGTGAACAGTAAACAGCCATCAGTGTGCTAATGATCAATTGCTAGACTGATGGTCCTCCTTTATTATGTGAACAGTTAGTTCTGGATGTCACCAGCAAACTGGTTGATCCACTATGAGAAGGTGCTATTTATAAGACTGAGTTTGTTGCAGCTCCTCAGACTGAAGAAGTTTTTGAGATAAAAGATGAAACGTTTCTACAAGAAGAATCCATCCAGAGGACCTGCTTAACTTTGTTAGATTTTTTGACCTGGATTATTGAGCATGCATCAAGAAATAAATGAAGTTTTTTTTAAAAAGGCTCCATTACAGTCAGCCAGACTGACATGAGACAGCTGCTTCAGTGACTTCATATAAAACAATTAAATTGTTAAAAAATACACAAATTTAATAAAATATTTAGGATGACAGATAGGGTGTACTACTTACAATGTGATGTGTAACAACACTACTGAGAAATTAGGAGGTATAAATTATATATATATATATATATGTATATATATGTATATATATATATATATATATATATGAAAGGTATACAAGTTTTTAATGCATCAATCAAAGTATTTTATTATTTAAATCAAAATGAGCTGTCATAATAAGAGATCATAGACACTGAACGCACCAGGTTATAAAACAAAACAAAGCAAAAAGATGTTTCGGTTTCTTTAAATTATTTCTGTTGTACAATGTTGTCTGTATAAATGAAACTTTACAAACCAACTTAAAAAAAGCCAAATATCACGTCAAAAATACACAAAACAATTCATGTGGCTGTAAAAGAGTTGTAGCATCAGATTAGTCTCAAACCTGAAAGTCAAACTATCATATTATTTACACAATTAAAACAAAATAATGTGAAACACCTGTACATGTGAAGTGCACACAATCTCACCCACATCAGATAGTTTGTAC